GCATGCTTAAGTTAGCACCACCATTAAAGTCATTTTTAAGAAATTGCTTGTATATTTTTCATAAATTGGCAGAATTGGATATGCGAATTTTAATAAAATTGATTATAAAGTAGTTAGGATGAACCAAAAATTCTGAAAATCAATAGAGTTCTAAGTTAGAAGTAATTATTCAAGAAAATCAAAACCGCAAGTCAATCAGAACTTTCGTTATAGAGTTATCGTGCCGGCATACATACAGACGATCAGATGAAATTTTGTGTTTTGCATTTTCAAACTCAGAATGATCGGAAACATGAAAAAAAAATTTAAAAAATGGGGGTAAGAAAATTTTTTCGTCTGCACGAATGCAATACTGAGGAACCATAGGAAGGGCCTCAGTAATTGGTAATAGATAAGTAACATAACTAAATGTTTTTTTTATTATTATTCTTAACTTGATAAATTACCATTATTTAATAAATTCTTCTATATTAATAAAGAAACCTAAAAAATATTAATAATTATTATTAACTCAATACCAAAAATACATTTTTACTTAGGAATTTTCAATTTTGAACAAAATCCTTTCGGCTTGCTTTTCCGCTTTTGCCGAGAGATTGTAATTCTCTTAAATTCCAAGAACAAAAAAAATGACAAAATATTTATAAAAATAAAAGGCAAATAAAAATCCGGAAAACGTCCAAAAACAATTTTTCGCTGTCCAATCTAACAGGTATTCGTATTTACATTCTTACCCACTTCAACTTCTGAGTTTGGGGATTTCGTTTGACCGACAGTTTTAATATGTGAAGAGAATAATGGGAGTGTATGCGTAACCAAATAAAACTAGAGACTACTGAATTTTTATGAACATAAATCGAACTAGACTGTACGAAAGCTTCCTGGGGCCACTTTTTTTATAAAAAAAAATATTTTCTCGCAATTGTGACTTATTATCACGCAATTGTGACTTACTATCTTGCAATTGCGATTTATTATCACGCAATTGTGACTTATTATCACGCAATTGTGACTTACTATCTCGCAATTGCGACTTACTATCCCGCAAGAGTGACTTATTATCACGCAATTGTGACATATTATCACGCAAATGTGACTTCTTATCACGTAATTGTGACTTCTTATCACGCAATTGTGACTTATTATCACGCAATTGTGACTTATTATCACGCAATTGTGAGTTATTGTGCCGTCACATATCTGCTTAAAATGGTGAGCTTTGGTCGATGTTTCATGAAATAACAGTGAAGTAATTCTCCATTCTCGAGCTTTTAGTAGCTTCAGGTGAGTTTTAAGTTTAAACATATCGCTGTGCTAGAACAATACTAGGACAACTTAAAAAAAGTCATTTCGAGAAAATCGACTTTCAATGCCGTAATTGTACTTAACTTTTTTATTACTCAAATTAATAATAAGATCTTAACGTAGTTCGTTGTGATTTGTACATAAAAATTTACAATGAATGTTATTATTGTTATTAGGTGTCAACTTTTTTTTTAAATAAATATTTTGTAAGATGTCCTTGTATTGTTCTAGTAAAAAAATAATTTAAACACATTTTCAGAAGTTGTCTGAGTTTTTGTTTTAAGTTATCTTAGTATTGAATTGACTTATTGTTTATTTATTTAAAATTATACCTCTTTTCGTTAAAAGTATCTTTGTATTGTCCTATATTTTTTAGATAATTAGCAAACTTATCTCTATTTTTTAAATTTTTAGTTAACCTAGTATTGCACGGTTTTCACTGTAAATTATGTTTATTGTCTTTTTTTTTTAATTTGTAAGTTGTCTTTCGAATATTGCGTTAAAGAAAAACAGTTATAGTAAAAAATAATATTTATTTCCACAATGTTATTCTTAAATAAAAAAGTGCTTATTACAACAAAATATTAAAAAAAAACAAATCTCCGCTCTAAAAGTTAACGAGGTACTATTTTTTCTATTAAAAAAATATTACTAAAAACACTACAAATAATTGCATAATAAACAACACAAACAAATCGGGTGATACATTAAATAAAAATAATGGAAACATTTAAACAAATTTATTCGCTATCTTCATACTCTTTTTGGCCCTTTTTTAAGGCTTTTAAGTTTTTAAAAAAATCATGGTGATCTATTGGTACATGTTTCAGCAAACTTAACAAGTCCTCTTTTTTTTTATAAGTTATTTTGGGCCTGTCAATATATGCTGAAGTAAGTATATCATCGTCATTTTTTTTACTAATATTAATTTGTTTGAAAGTATCCGTGTCAAAGGTATTTTTATAATAAATTGTATTTGGATCATCTTTAGTTATACGCAACATTTTTATATTGCTCCAATATACTTTCTCACCATCCGTATTTTTGATAAAATTACCGAAATTATTGCTAAAAGTTTTCCAATCTAATATATCAGTATATTTTATATTATTTACCAAGTAAGGCTTCCCTTGTTTTTTTGCTAATTTAATAATCATTTCCACTTGTTGTGGAGTATACAAAGGCCCACTTAACAGAGCTCTCTTTTTCGAAGACTCTATGCAAGAATGCATAGAATCTCCCTCGTTTTGGGAATGGCCAGCTATAAGAAATTTATGAGTTATGGATTTCACATCATAGTTTCTTACAACGTAAATAAACATAATAGCCATAAATTTATTTTTATTTTGACCCCCGCAGTTGTCCGAATAAAATGTAACATTTTTTCCAATGCATTTGTTTATAAGCAAATTATAAACACAAGTTGAAATTTCATTACTACCTCTACGGGCTTCCCCTTCGTGCCACAAATAACATATTCCAGCTTTATTAATGAGATCGAAAGCAGTGAAATTGAGACAATTTAGCTTACTTTTATAGTAAAAACTAGAAATATTTCCGCAAGGTAACGGTATTACTGCTTGCAAATCAAAGACATAAACAGCGTTTGTATCTTTATTTGATGTTGCTAACTCAATATCTGTAGCTTTTTCTTTGCGAGATAGTTCCTTTTCAAGTTGATGCGAATAATATTTTTCTTGCAAAATTGACTTATCACTGGCATGCAAATATTCATCACACAAGGTACATAAATCTTTCTTTGGGCGAAGAAAACCAATGTTAAAACAGGTGTTAAAGATGTGAGAATACATAGAATGTTTTACTGCTGCATTACCTTTAATCTGGCAGTCCTCAAGGTAAATCCTGTACATTTCTGCAATAGTAAGTCCCCCATCAATAAATTCCCTTTGATTATCTTTGCGGCAATAGTGTGATTCGATTCGTGAAAATGTATTTATGTGATCAATTACACCTTGTCGTAAATATTCATCAAGTTTTTTATGATTATCGTGACATCCTCTAGCATCTACTAAAACCAGACCGATATCATTTTTTTTTTTAAATTACGGTACTAATAGCTGTATTACTTAGGTCTAAAGTGGTTTTAAAAAAGAGTTTACAAACTTTTATCTTTTCATTGTCAATTTTAAAATGATAAGAATAATTAAGCGATCGTTTGCTGTCTTGTTTAGCATTCCGATATTTTCTTGCTTTAGTTGGGCTTATACAAGAATTTATGAAGTTCCTCTGATTATTCTTATCACCACATTTTTCATAAAAACTTGTAAAAATGTTTAGTCTCTTTTCATGATTTATTTTCTGGCTGCACTGTAGCCTACAAGTTTCTGTGCAACCCTGCTGTAGTCGTTTACTTCTCTTGATGTTTCCCCCTTCGGACAAATATTCTTTTCCGGTATTAACCTTTTTTTTTTTAATATTTCGGCGCCATGTTGATGGATTTCTGATATTTTTTTTGACTTTTTTTGGTAACACTTTATCATTACTGCGCGAACTCGTATTAGAGTCCTCGTCTTCTGGAGAATAATCCATATCGGCATCACTATCTTCGAATGGACTAGGAACATCTACCTCTTCGGAATCATCATTAAATTTCTGGTTTTCTCCAAAAAATACCTTGAGGTCCCGAAGGTTATTTTTTACATCTTTTTTTTTCTATTCTAAACAAATATGTTTGAGTTTCGTTTTCTCTTTCAAGCCAAACATCACCAGGCTAAAAAACAACCGATTTATGAAAACGATTCTTAGAAGTTATACATATATACCGGCAAACTTACCATCGTGATGTTCTTATTACCGCTTATTTTTGGCTTAATATTTGAGAAGAATTATTCGGATTCTATAAAAGAAATAATCAATATTCTATGTATTTAGAGCACCCTGTATATTTACTTACTATATCTACAACAGGTCCACTTTCTGGTGAAACAATACATCTTGCGGCTTCTTGGAGAATTTTTTTCGTTCTAATTGATTTCATAATTTAAACTTAAACGACCCTACCCGCCGACAGACTAAATTCAGACTGAAGACTGACAAGTTTGAACAAAAATATTTGATTCCATCAAAGAGCGCCCCACCCTATGGTTCAATACAGAGACATCTTTAAGGAGTTTATAATTTTTATTTAAAATTAAATAATATCTTGGCACAATACAAAGATAACTTTTAAAATGCAGTCATGTTAAAATACTATTCTTATTATGTAGTGAAATACTGAGATATATTTGACAGTGTAATACTAGGACAACTTATAAAACCGAGATATCTTAAAATATATAACTTAATACTTGGGAAAAGAGTGAGACTTCTTAAAATATCCTACTATTTCACCAACAAAAATGTAAAATAACGATTCCCAAGTTAAACGAAAGAAAGAGACATTTTAAGATATCTTACTATTAACTTAAAAACTAATTAAAATGTATAAATTGCAACACTAAGATATAAGTTAGACTGTGCCCAAATAAATGAATTTTGTATATCTGACTATAGCACCAGAAAGAGTTTTTTTTTACATTGTAATGATCCGGATAACTCAAAATCGGCATTTTTTAAGTTGTCCTAGTATTGTTCTAGCACAGCGATATGTATAATTCATTAAGTTGTTTTACAATTTTAACCATCTTTTAAGATATTTACAACACTAGGCGATGGATTCAAGATCAAGAAATAATCTTATTATACACTATTTTTTAAATGGATGTAATTATAGTAAAATTCGAAACATACTGAAAGAGAGATTTTCAACAAATATATCATAACAACAAATAAAGAGGATTTTAAACAAAAACAAATTGTTTAGAAAAAAATATTTCATAGGAGCTGATATTTTAGTAAATTTTATAGACCATCAATTACAAAATTCTTCCCAACTCTATGGCTATAGATGGATGCATTTGAAATGCATTCAAAATGGTTTCTCTGTTTCGCAAAATATGGTTCATTTAATATTACAAAACATATTTCTGGAGTAGAACTAAGAACAAGACGAAGACTGCATAAAAGGCAATATAATAATACTGGTCCCAATTTTTTATGGCATCTTGATTTATTTGATAAATTAAAACCATATGGTATATGTATAAATGGCGCTATTGATGGATACTCGAGGTTTATCATTTGGTTGAAAGCATCTCCGAATACGAATATTCCAAAAATTATTGCAGGTGGGTAATAAGAAACACTAGGAAAATGGTATATATTTTTCAGTAATTACTGGATGCAATTTTTGTTTTAGGGTTTTTTCTTAAGAGTATTGAAAAATATAGTGGGTGTCCAAGAAGAATTAGATCCAATATGGGTACTGAAAATGGAACTGTAGAACAAATGCAAACATTTTTGAGAAGAATTGCTGTTAAAAATAAAGGTCAATTTTCATATGACAACAGTTTCATCTATGGAACCAGTAATTGTAATCAACGCATCGAGTCTTGGTGGGGTATACTAAGGAAACATTGTTCGTATTATTGGATGAACCTATTTTCAGAGCTCAAAGAAAGTGGACATTTTTCTGTATCCTTCCTGGATAAGGGGTTAAAGCAGTTTTGTTTCATGGATATAATCCAAGTAAGTACCTATCCATTCTCAAATATTTTGCCAAAATCATATATAATTTTACCTATATTTCAAAATAATAATAAAAATAATAATGATAATAATAGAACCTATTCAAATCTACATAAAATATAAACTTCACAACTACCAGGAATCAGTTCTATGAGCTAATGTGCTCAAAATATTGTGGAGAAAAAAGGGGCAATAAAAATAATTTTTACACCCCTTTTCTGTGTTGTCCCTTTTGTCTCTATATACTCTTTTCAATCCAATAGCTCATAGAACTGATTCCCGGTAGTCACACACCGGGTGTTCAAACTAAAATGTTACAGTTAAATACCGCCTTCTATAAAAAAACGATTCAGACGTATGTTTTATAGTTAGGTGTTACTCAATAAGAAGTCCAATAAAAATGTTTCCTTTAAAACTTTCTTATTTTTTTATGAACTTTAAGAATATGTAAAAAAATGGGGTTTCCATTTGAAAAAAAAGTTTACCTCGATATGGTCATATTATGATCAGCTATAAAAAAATGAATTTAACCAAAACGTTTTCCCAAAAAAACTATAAAACTTTTGTCTGAAACTCTTTTTTATAAAATGCATATTTTCGGCGGTATTTAACTGAACACCCGGTATATACCAGGAATCGGTTCTATTAACTATTTTCTACTTCTCTCACTCTTTCTTCATCGACTCTAGTTAACAATTTTCCTACCTCGCATTCTTTCATAATTTTTCTCTATCCACTTCTCAACCCCCTTTTACCTTAATCGCAAGTTTGCATGACTTGGTTTTTAAACTTTAATCACCACACATTCAGAAAAATTCTAAAATAATAGAATATTGTATTTGAGATAATGAATTTTTGACCTACACTTAATTTGTACAATACATTTTTTTTGTCTGATGATGGCGCTTAGAGACTAAAAATAGTAGCCGCTTGTATAAACAGTTCTTAAAAATTCTGTGGTAAATGACTTTGAGTTTTCTTTCCTAACAATAAAATTGTCACATTAGTGAAAATTAATTATTTTATTCTGATTTCCTAGAAAAAATTATCTTATAAAAATTCATACTTCGCATATAACCCAATAATGGGAAATAATTTCAACTCATTTAATACTTTGTCTTTCCTACTTACGTTCTATTTTTAATTAATTGAGGCAATATGGCGGTTTAAGAGAAGCACCCACTTCTATATAAAAAAATATTTTTCTTAAACATGAATAATAGAAGGCGCAGTTTTTGAGCCTCACTTTTTATGGAAAATAAAGATAAATCCAACTAAATTAATTTTGTACATTTTTGTGACAGAAGGAGTTAAACACCGTTGTGAGGTAGTGGTATTGTCACCGTATAACCAGAAGTAGACAAAGTGTTTGTCAAAATGGAAGGCCAGTTGTTGTGTTCGAAAACCCCCAGACATTTAACACAAAGGACTTCCTGTGTCCAGTTAACATCATCGATTTTGAAGCCTGAAAAAATGAAGCAACGTTTCCGAAACTATCTGCGATAATGATGACTTTGAATTATGCACACTCTTAATGAATGAAAATAATTTTATGTTTAGTGATGATTCATACAGCCTTGTAAATTTTATATGTCAATTTAAGAGATATCATTATTAATATAATGGAGTGAATATAAAGGCATAGTTTATATATTTATTATTTATATAATTGTTATTGAAATATTACAACCTACTTAACGAATTTAACATAATTTAGCCACGACTCGTAAGTGGTGACATAAAACAAAATTTAAAAACAATTTTATTTAACTTGTTTAAATATTAATATGCAATAAAGTAATACATATAATTATTTGTTTTTTTTTAATGATAATTTTTTAACTTACCTAGGTATTTTTAAAATTTATAAAAAACAAACATTATGTAGGTAGATATTCAGAAGAAAACCATCCAAATTTTTTATTACTGTTGTATATTTCCTATTGAAGTTAAATTTCTGAAAATATGTCGTATATAAATAAAGAATATCTTATAATATTTCATTTGTAAGGACTCACTATAGTTGTAAAAAACAAAATTGTTGAAATTATAGCAATTTAATCAAATTGAAACTTGGTTCACTGTAAAGCACTGCTGTTATACAATCAACCATATCTATGTACACAGTGATGTACGATTTAAAATAACAAATTTAAATACACATCAACATTCAATGCAAAGAGTCTATTAAAAAGTAAAACATATAACTTAATAAATTACTATTATTGAAACCGTGACAAGTTATCACTCAAAAAAAAAAAAAGGTAAAACGAAATAAATGTTTGTGAGTAATACATTTTTAGGCCAAATAGGAACTTTAGATACTAACGAGAAATACTGGCAATGACACGTAGGTACGCCTCAAACTGTAGTATTTTTAATTTGGTTGATTAAGGGGATTGGTTACTGTTGAACAATTAATTGATCCTACCGAAGTATAATAGTTTTAATCTTAATATTTTTAATCTCCTGTCATACAAAAATAGATGGTAAAAAATACTGTTTTTGGTAGTACATACACCAAATTATAAAATAAACAAAAATAGAAACAACATTAAAGAGAAAGGGACAAATAAAAAAATATTTCCTTCGCAAAAATAAAACATAATTTTGTATTATTATATTCAGAAACTTCAACATTCCAAAAGTTGGCATTTAAAATAGAATTAAATATCGTCGTTACATTCTGGTAGATACTCCTTCAATATTCAATTGTATTTATCATTTCTTTTGTGAGTGTATTGGGTAGACACAAAATGTCATTTATGTTTCTAAAATTGCGAGATAGTCACAATTATTGTGTGATAATAAGTTACAATTGCGTGATAACGTCGCAATTGCGAGATAGTAAGTCACAATTACGTGATAATAAGTCACAATTGCGTAATAATAAGTCGCAATTACAAGACATTAAGTCACAATTGCGTGATAATAAGTCAGAATTGCGTGATAATAAGTCGCAATTGCGAGATAGTAAGTCACAATTGCGTGATTATAAGTCACAATTGCGTGATAAGTCGCAATTGCGAGATAGTAAGTCACAATTGCATGATAATAATAAACAATTGCGTGATAGTAACTCACAATTGCAAGATAATATGTCGCAATTGTGAGATAATAAGTCACAATTGCGAGATAATATTATTTTTTTTATAAAAAAGTTCGTAAGATTGATGACAATGAAATAGTGATTACTATAGAAGACAAATTGGTTACCTCAGGAATATTTTTGATTGTCAAAATTTTGTCATCATATAAATTAATATTCTGAATTTAATTTAGTAGATCAATTATTTAAGTTAATGTCTTTCAATACGTAACAAGTTGGCAAATATTAATGTGAATATTTCCAATTCGGAAAATAAATTAAACAGAAAACATTAATTTGTATATTTTAAAATAAGTGTTAGTATTTTTCAGTACTTACAGTGAATGGAATACCATTTAAAAATTTTTTTAAGCAATAGGATAAGTTCCTATAAAATCATTTAAAATGAAATAAATATATTTTAATTGTTTTACTTACAGCAGAGTAATAGTACTATTAAAGCATTTGTATATACAGTATGGTTCAAATGAAAGGAATAAATTCATTATAATGGAAGTAGTTAGTTTTTCAAAAAAATACTCGGACAGGTCAATTTTGTTTACTTAAAGCGCAATTTTTTAATTAAAATTCAATTTTCCCCCACTTCCCATTTTTGGGCAGTGACGTCATTGACAATTTTTTTAAATAGCAACCCCAATTTTTTTTTCTTGATTTTGATAGATCTTGCAATTTCCTACTTGGAAACATAATATTTGAAATATCTGACATAACAATTTTTAAAAAGAAAAAGTCATTTAAAGATCATATACATAAATTTTATGTTATTTTGAAACACAATAAATGAATAAATGATAATTATTTGTAATTAAGTGCTTAATCTAAAATAATAATAATAATAATAAAAATAATTTAATGACAATTTCACAAATTCTTTTTTTTATTATTATTTTTATTATTATTTTGTTAGATTAAGCATTTAATTACAAATAATTATCTTTTATTCATTTATTGTGTTCTGAAAATAAAATAAAATTTATGTGTCTGATCTTTAAATGTCTTCTATTCAAAAAAAATTGTTATGTAAGATATTTCAAATATTATGTTTCCGAGTAGGAAATTGCAAGATCAATCAAAACAAAGAACAAAAAATTGAGGTTACTATTTAAAAAAATTGTTAATGACGTCACTGCCCAAAAATGGGAAGTGGGGGAAAATTGAATTCTATATAAAAAATTGCGCTTTGAGTAAAAAAAATTGACCTGTCCGAGCATTTTTTCGAAAAACCAGCTACTTCCATTATAATGAATTTATTACTTTCATTTGAACCATACTGTATAGAATTGCCTAGTAACATATTCTTTATGTGTGGCATATTCGAATTAGGAGATTTCCCCAGTAGCACCCAGCTAGCACATTTCTTTTTCTTTCATAGCAGAATATCGTGCTAAAAACATTGTTTTTTATAAAAAGCTCTGTATAATTTAGACATCCATTATAAAACATCAAATTTGTAAAAATCTAAATTAATTTCATTATTTATTTAAAACACCAAAGTAAGTAAAAATCAACTAAAAATAGATGCAACGATTTGAATGAGCATATTTGTAATTTTCTTTATACATATTATTTTCTTTAATAATAGTTAAACAAGTAAATGTATTACCTCCAAAGTTATTTTTCACAGAAGAAATTATATAATTAAGTTCACATGTATATTCCATTCTATCCAATATTCTATCTGAATTAGGGCGTAGTTAAAAACCCACTTGTACTGAAGCTCTAGACTTATTGTATCGCTCACAGTTTCTATCTCATCTGATTGATTTTCTTGGCGAATTCAAGAATATGTCTGATGGGCGCTTCCGCGATTTTTTCAGGTTCCGGATATTGTACCCCGAAGAACCCTTCCCGTTCCCACTTAAGGTTCCGATAGTGGCATAGTATGTGAATAGGAGTTTCGTCTTCCTCTTCACATATTCTACATAGGAAGTCATCAGATATCCTTAAGAGATTTAGGTGTCTTCTAAAGCCGTAATGTCCCGTAAGGAGTCCTATTACGGCCTTGAGTTCGCTT